ACATCAAATCGCAGCTATATGTAATAAATATAGTGAGTGTAAATGGCATAATTCGAAGCACATCGTTTCGGAGGCATCGTTTGACCCCGGAAATAAGTCTGACAAATCCACACTACGCGCCCGGCTTGCTGATTGGCCAAAATTGACGCTTTCGCCAGTTTTGATTGACAGACTGGATCGGTCTATTACAAAATTTTGTGATAATAAAGAAATGTGTTCCTGACTTTGAATGAAACAATTCAATTAAATCATTAGTTTCACATTTATGCTCTTTGTCAAATGCCTTTGATATAAAATACAAAGTTTTCAGATGATATATTACTGACATCAAGTGAAAATATATATTTCATGGTCACGGTCAAATGTATCTAATAGTATTATGTAACATTGTGGCAGGAGAGTCAAGGAAAAATTTCTTCATCACAAATATCAATGTTTTGGTTAGTGTAATAAATTAACAAATACTATGTGTATTTATGATATGTGTGAAGGAAATATCTTAACACGGTGGCTAGGACTGACTGAAAGGGAGGGAGGAGGCCAGTGTTTACACTTAAATTGGTCAGGGAAAATCTATACTTGTCAGGAAAAAGTCAGGGAATTTTGACCTGCCATGCCTGTGGGAACCCTGACTCTGCATAGTTAGTGAAAAAAAAGATAAGAATGGGTGGGCCTTCTCAAAATGTCAAATGGATATTTATGATGATGTAATATGTTACCTGTTCAATGGGAAGCTGATATGGAAACTAATAATTGACAATGCCATTATATTCCACCAAATTTCAACAGGAACAATGTACACAATCACAGCATTTATCCACAGTAATTATCCCTGCAACGCTTTTTGTGTGTGTGTGTGTGGATGGGGTGGGGGGTGGAAGGTTGAAAATGGGACTCCGTCTGTCCATTCATATTCTTTTTTTCCGGAGCAGAACATAAAAATTGTTCAATATTCCTCCACCAAACTTGGCACATAGATAGGTCTGGTGGTGAGTTTGAGCATTTTGGTAGCTTTGGATTTCTGAATAAAATATTTTTGGCATTCCATGGCTTCAAATTTGACTTCGACTGAATTTGGTGGTAGTGCTCCTTTCTTGAACAGAATTTGAATTCCTTTCAGTACTCTCCTACTTTGCTGACTTGGTTGACACATGTCATCATATCCCAAATTTGTAGATTGATGCTCATGCTGTTGATCACTGGATTGTCAGGTCCAGATTCGATTATTTGCAGACCGCTGCTATATAGCTGGACTATTGCAGAGTGCAGCGTAAAACTTAACTCACTGACACTCGCTCACTGCTATATACATGCCAAAACAATGGACATAGTCATAGCTACTTGACATATTCATGAAGAGTATTTTGCTGTTGCGGGGGGATACTGATAACTTTGTCTTCTTGTTTGTATTACAAACAAGGGAACATGCCGACACTTGTGTTGTGGTCAGTGGAGCAGAAACTTCTCTTGCAGAATACAGCCAGCGGAGTTGAGTAGGCTGGGGTGTAATCTGCTTGTGTTAGCAAACAATACTTTAGCCCCCTGGATGCCACAGGGACATATATGTCCTTCCCCTTCAACCCTCAATTTGAAGTCGAATAAAAATCAAAATATCCCACTCACACAAATACACTTCACAGTTTAGAATTCTGCGGGAAATTTCCTGTTTCTTGACACCATCCAGTATTATTTTAGACAAAGCTCAAGTGCTGAAAATGACCTTTTAAAATAGGCTTCATCGAAAATGGCGACATTTTTGACACAGTATGAAATCGCGATTCACAGCGTTATTTGCTGTATGTTTTAAATGTGAAAATCGGATAATTCCTGGGAGTATTGAATTTAAAATAACCTATTCATGATCACTGATATCAGTTTTACATGAAATCGCTAATTATAATTCTGAAACGCTAGTCGATGAATCTAGAATCGGTTGGGATGTTTTCGAAAATGCACTTACACATCTAACACCGTGAGCCGCTTTCCGCCATATTGATAGTGTTTACAAAATCACGCCGCGAAGGCGGGTATTGAGACACCTATTACATCAATGTGATATTTCATATTCAGCTTCAAAAATGCATCACTGAATTCCCCATACATTTTAGAATCAATTTGAAACTGGTCTGTGTCACCAATAATAACTGTCTAGATAAAATGAGACGAAACATATTGGGTGTGAAAACGAACGCTGTGCTTGTTAGTCTGAAATGTAAACAAAGACAAATTCCGATTTTACACTGCGTAGCATTTTCTGAAATTTTTCAACATTCATCCGTCTATTCATTGCTTGCAATGGCTCGATACCTTTAGAATATACATGGAAAGAGTATCGTAGCAAGAAATAGGAAATTATAAATAGATACAATGCAATGATTTGATAATTCATAAGAAATTGTCAAAGTTTCCGTGCAGCGTGACATCATGACTGACGCCAAATCACGCAGAACGACAACGGTAATTATCTGCATTTCTGTCCTTTTCTCTTACGTATAGTGAAAACGATAAAAACATATAACAATACACAGATAGTCAGAATCATTCGAATTACTTACATCTCATATTTATGGACAAACGATCCCTGAATCAGTGGAAGGGTCCTTGCAAAATCCTGTGTACCCTTGTCAGCAAAGCCGCCATTTTGTAAGAAATCGGTCAGCGGTAGTGATGTCATACGTCAACATTGTTCTACATATTAGGCAATTTCTTTGAAGTGAAGGTCGGTCGAACAAGAGTAAACACAATCGCCATATCCTTCCGATTACACTGTCAGTATTATGATGTATATTTTGCGGATAGTTCGGATGCTTTTTCATGAAACTGACTTCAGTATCTACATTTAGCCTTGTTCAATATCATATCATACATGCATATGGGGTTTACGGTGTTTTATTCTTTGAAAGTTTTTGTTTGTTTGAATCATATTTACATAAGAAATTGACATATTTATTGCAATACACCATATTCTAAACCTTTACACAAGTGTTAGAAGATCAAACGTAGCCATAACTGCATCTACTTTAGTTCCTATGATGTACAATATTCAATTTATTTGGACTAATATTGCAATTTCATGTGAACAGGTTAATGAACGGTGATATAATTCAACCTTATATGCAAAACTGATAATATTAATGACAATGATTTATATATGGTATGAAATGTATATGCACACATATTTAAAGGAATTGTCTTGTTCATTGCATAATTTTGTGTCGCTTTATAGACAAAAGAATGATGCATATAGATCGGCAAGGTGCGCTGTTTGTTGAAACGCTTTATGATTCTCTGTCATTGTTTTCGATAATATATTCAATTCATATTCAATTAAATAATATTGTGATGACAGGATATCAAACTCTAACTACTTATAGGAAAATTGTTGAAAATATATATACCATCTCATGTGTTAATTCGACAAATCTTATATCCATATTCTAATATATAGTTCCATATATAAAAGCTATCCTTATGCATCTTTCATTGCATACGCTTGAAGAGAAATAGCTTCATAATCATAAACAAACAAAATTCTTATCCCAAACAAAATATTCGGGTGCTGGGAAATATTATTTTATTTACGCTAAATTGATGCCAAACAGGTGCTGTGTTTTCACAATCAGATACGCTGTCAAACTGTCTAATTGTTGATATATTCAGGACACTATTTAAATGGAAAAATCAGTCATTTTATGTTTTGTCTAAAGAGTGTTAAATTCTGACATAGAAGTCTAGACCTTTGATACAATTAATGGAAATTAAGCGAGATATATACTAATCAGCATACCAATGTCGTCTTTTTCTGACGTCTCAAAATGCATAAAACAAGTGATGACGTCAACTAAAATGTTGTATTATTTTCAGCAATTTCGTTACATTTGAAGATATGGCTAGTACTCTGGTAATAGAGTACTAACGATGCAAAATTAGTCAAATTACATCTACACAAACAGGAGAATATGGGAATCTAAGAGCTAACTTATATATCGGATAGGGCCATTCAAATCGCTATTACGTGCTTTCACATGTAATACGTTGTCATCTTTTCTTATAAATTGTGAAACTACCAAAGCGCATCCGTTCACATTGGGGAAGTTTGAATTGGAATAGTGTGGTTCACCATGAATATAAAATAACGAAAATATAGCGTCCGTGATCCACAACAAATTCTCTCCAAGTGATCTGAGTTACATTGACCTAGTGTTACGATAACGGAGTTATGCCCCTTATCATTATATCGTATGACCTCTCTGTCGCCGCTTTGACGCCATAGAAGAAAATCCATTTTTGACATTTATTATGCAGTCATTTTAATGTTGAGCGTGATAACGCTATGCACAAGCACATAAACCCAATTCATATACACTTATGTCGCTCAGATATCAGGCTGTATTTTCTTCGCTTCACACTTTCCGTAAAGATGCCCCATTAAAAATACGAGCACAGTGCTTTTTATCGGTGCCGATAAAAGCGGAGAAATTTACTGCTTTTTAACGCATAACAAGAATTTGGACAACATTTAGCAAGGTCTATTTCTCAAACCGTCAAGGTAGTTGCACTTATATTTATACCAACGGATGGGAAATTTAATATTCTACATTTCTGTGTAATTTTATAGCCTTACGTAGATCCAGGACCACGCGGGCTCAATTCTCGCACAACGTTCACTTTTCAAAGCGTATGAAAATGTGCGCCTGAAAAAAAACTCGGCAGCCAGGGGGTTAGATCAGTCAACAAACTGGCATTTTGTAGCAAAAGTTAAAACTGTCAAGTATATGTACTGAAGAGCCAATTTTGTGTCAAGAGTGGATTCTCTAATAAATTTAAACAAACATAAATAAGAAAGACTCATTCTTGTTTAGAAATAAAAAGTGTCAAGTATCATTCATGATTAATGATCACTGTGGGACAAATTATCTGTATTTTTCACAGAATTGTGTATGCATAACAGTTGGATGAATTTCATAAGATATGTCATGACAATTTTTTTCTTATATCAGATGCCCCAGTGATCACCTCCGTCCCCAGCAACAAGGATGTGACAGAGAACACCAGTCCCAACATCGACTGCAGCAGTAACATCACACCAGGCAACCCTTCAACAACAAGCTACAGGTGGACAGGTCCAGGTGGTTACAGCAAGGATGGGGCTGTACTTGACAGACCTGTCACCAGGACTCAGGGAGGAGTGTACATCTGTACTACCTCCAACACTGCAGGACTGTCTGACACAGCTCAGGTCAACATCAATGTGCAGTGTAAGATTTTATTTATGAAATTCTGTTTCTTGTCTGTTAGTCTGTAGCTCATGGGTTCTACTCTGTTGATATGCAACAGGGAAATAGTAACATCTCCACATCAGAGTGGATGGGTACCTGCTATTATGGAAGTAATTTTGTGTTTGGTTCTCTAACCTTCCTACTCAAGTTTGTGTGTGTTTGTGAAGGTCCTGATGGCAGAATAATCAGATTGAGAGACTGTACAGGCCATGGATAATCCACAGTCTAGTATCTCCCATTGCACATGCCATTTCATGTTCACATTCTGAACCACCATTATATGTTTTCAGACTCTTTGTTATTTTTTCCCGATTTTTTCAGTTTCCTTTGGATAAATTTTGGAAAGTAACTATAATCCCCACTCTGATTGGAATTATTAGTTATGTCCTATATGGACCTTTATCTGTTGTCTTTCAATCTTTCACTTAGCAAAAACATGAACATTTGTTTCTTGACATGGACAGTTTTTACCTTTCTCATTTTATCAATTTCCCAAATGAAAAGTGATGTCCCAAATGCTAATGTAATAACTTATGTACCTACAAGCAATGGGCTTCTGTATTAAAGTTACTCAAAAGTAAACAACGTTAGGCATCAAAGATAAATAGATGATTTTGGTGAAATCAGAATTACTTTCTGATGTGTTTGTATTTTTAAGAGCATTTTGGAAAAAAGACAGGGATGTTATGTGAATGACAGAGTATGGTTTTAGGCCTGTTATGGCAATATTTATCTATATCCAAGCATCATCAAAGAGAGGATACAAAAGAAATGGGCTTCACACAGGAGATAAAGAAAAACAAGTATAACCAGACTACCCTACCACCTCTGGTGATAATCATGTTTGTAATAGGTACTTCATGACAAATTTTGTCATCTGCTTCTACCAGACGCCCCAGTGATCACCTCCGTTCCCAGCAACAAGGATGTGACAGAGAACACCAGTCCCAACATCGACTGTAGCAGTAACATCACACCAGGCAACCCTTCAACAACAAGCTACAGGTGGACAGGTCCAGGTGGTTACAGTAAGGATGGGGCTGTACTTGACATACCTGTCACCAGGACTCAGGGAGGAGTGTACATCTGTACTGCCTCCAACACTGCAGGACTGTCAGACACAGCTCAGGTCAACATCAATGTGCAGTGTGAGTATATCAGTCATGCTACCATGATTACTAAAAACGCACATACTCTCTGTGTTATGTTCCCCAAGAACAGCAAAACCTTCTCACCCCTTTCTGAGCCCATGTGACCAAACACCATGGTTGGGAAGTGTATTTTCTGTGCTTAGTGCAAGCCATCCCAGCAATATCAATTCTAAATTTTTCAAACTATGAGGCCTAGGTTATATTTTTGGGTCTTTCAACACATTTCAATGTGCAGTGTGAGTATATGGTTAAGATATGATACAAACCTTGAGAAAATAATTGAAGATGAAATGTTTTCTCGGTTGATTTGAATCAGATTTTTTTTATCAAGACAACAGTGAAGAGTATTGAAATGATGCTCAGATCATATTCAGTCCAGTTTAAGTATAAGATCATGCATGTGAAACACATGCTTACGTCACCTGTCAGACATTACATCAATTGAACCCATGCCTGCAATTAGTTGATCAAAACAATTATGAAAAATAATGATAGTTATATTGGAATCTTTTATAATAAGCAATCACCATGATATTAAAATAAATGTTCCTGTTAAGTCACTGAAGAACATGAAGGTATAGTCGGTTTGGCTCAAAAGCGGACCGATGATTTGCAATCTAACTCGAAAACTAATAAACATAAACTACTCAATGAAACGCTGATCATAATCAAAACATCATACCAACTCTGTGAGGTTTTTGCAGATTTTTTTGTCCTTAAAATAATAAAGTTGTTTAACAATCTATCGTTAAAATATTGAGACAGTTCACTATTTGTTACGAGGTAGGAGTGCAGAGAAAGGGACAGCCAGGGATACATATATATATCTCTCCAACAAATATGTTTTGATATTTTAATCGTATTTAACACTGTTTATTCACGGTGTAGTCCATGTTTGTTCAGTAGTTTACGTTCATGAAAATCTGTTCCAAATGTAAGTTACGTTTCCCTGCTGCTGACCCGCACCTAATATGCCCTAGCTGGACGGTACCATGTTCTTTCAGCTCACGCTGCAATTATTGCAAGCATTTATCTACTTGTGCTTTTAATAAATACCTCCTTTGCGTCCTGAGACGTGCCGCAGATAGGTCGAGAAGGGTTGATCCAGTTATGGATAATTCAGCTGAGTCCCTCACCAGTCAACTGCTGTCTGACGACCCCCTACCGTCTGGTGTTCCGCTGGAGGTTCCCTCGGAGGAGAGGCGTGGACGAAGTCCGCCACCTCCAAGAAGAGACCTGCTTCTCCAGACATCCCGTCGTCACAGTCTAAGACTCGGAGATCGTCAAACACCCAGCGCAGACTCTACACCCCCAGGGCAGCGTCCACCACCAAGGGGAAGTCAGCGCAGACAACTAGAACTTTCTCGGCTGAGATTGTTCCCTTGACAGAACAGGGTCTGTATGATGAACAGCCGATCATCATCCCAGAGGTTCATTGCAAGAAACGACCGGGTCTCAGCTACGGTGACTTCAGCGCAGATTTCGTCTCAACCCGAGGTATCAACGCTGACGACAGATGACCATCCAGTGGGCCCCGTCGCCATCACCGCAGGAAGGGCAGCGCCAGTACCACCGCAGACATTCAACCCGGGCGACTTTATGCAGCAGTTCTCCCAGCAGATCATGGAGCTGATGGAAGAACGTTACGGCCTGGAAAAGAAGTCACAGCCAGCCCAGGTCCCGAGCCTATGCGAAGGCTCCAAAGCAGACATCTCTGAGGGACCTACCATCAACTTGACTTCTGCCAGCAGACCTGCACTCCCGGACCAGCCTGCGCGAAGGTCGTCTCAACCATCCCCTGCAGAGGACTCGGACGATCAGCATCCGCTGGACTTGCGCTTCAATGGCGTTCAGGCCAACAAGATCCCCTCCTGCTTCGGACTCGGACAAGGCCTTCGCGAAAGACTTCAACAACAGTATCCAAGACATCTGCCTCCCACAGAGCGACGAGGGATTCACCAGGACCTTCGCGAACCCACAGTCGCTTATCTCCGCGCAGGTCACCGCGCAGGTCACCCTACAGACACAGATCATCGGACCATTCAACACGCCGATCTCCACGCAGATCCCCACACAGGTCTCCGCGCAGGTCTCCACGAAGGTCTCCACGATGTTCGCCGCACAAGTCTCCATGCAGGTCTCCCCGCAGATCTCCACCTAGGTCACCACAGCCACTTAGGACTCCACCTAGTTCACCATCGGAGGAGTATCAACGTCCCTTACTCAGCACTCCTGTTACTGAGGATGATGGCGGCATCATATTTTCGGACTCTGAAATACGTTACTGGATGGCTAATGGATTGGACTTGGCTTCACCATCGAAAGACGATAATCCGGCTCACACCTATCTTATGAGAGAGGATGATGTCGACACGCTCACTCTGCCCCCGATTGATCCCATAGCAGCGGTTCCACAGAACCTGGACGCAGCTTTCATGACAGCAACTAAAGCCCAGGCGCCGCACCTACCACAGTTCAACGCCAGGAAGTTCTCCTCCCATAACATGGATCCCATAAGAAGGACCAACAGTTCATGACAGACCACCTCACATCTATCTCCGCAGCACTCACACTGCCTCGTCGACAAGGTCTCCTTGCCTCCTGCAGTTGGAGTGAACAGTTTGCTAAGTCACTCTACACAGCCCTGTGGTCAACTCCTTCCATCTTCGCTGGAGAAATCGAAATGGTTGCTAAGGAAGTTACCAAAGATTCAAGAGAAGTCCTAATGATCAAGTCCATAGACACTCTGGCCAGCGTCATCAGGCAAACATCCCAGCATTACTCAGGAAGGTCCAAGTTTCCTGGAATACAGAGGGCACGGGACAAGAAAGTGGGTAGCTCCAGAGGCGGTAAAGATTCTTTTTGCCGCCCTACCCGCAATTGCAGGGCAAGATCCGGATGAGGCAGGGCACCCAGAGGCTCCAGGGATTATCGACGATGAAAGACGGGTTCGGAACGACTGGAGTCTTCCAACCCCAGCCATTCCCGTACAACCTTCCCAAGTGGGTGGACGTTTACAACTACACTGGGAAAACTGGTGAATACTACAAGATCCATACGTATCCAACATCCTAAGACACGGATATCGCATTCAACTACAGGCCGCTCCACCGCTTACAGTCAACCCTCACAAGTTCGACTTCAAGACACATCAGATAGAGAAGGCTGTCTCATCTCTTCTAACCAAGCAGGCCATAGAAATCGTGGATCCAGTCAACATCACACCAGGTTTCTACTCCCCAGTTTTCCTGGTTCCAAAGAAAAGTTCCGACTCATCTACAATATGAGCACGTTCAACAGGGATTATCTACGCAGATCTCCCAGGTTCCGCATGATACATCTACCTCAACTACTGCACCTCGTCCGTCAGATGGACTACATGGCCAGCATAGATCTACAGGATGCTTACCTGCATATCCCTATCCATCCCGACTCGAGAAAGTACCTCAGATTTACACTGGTCGGGCTACATTACCAATGGAAGGTCCTGCCATTTGGAATCTCATCAGCCCCATGGTTGTTTACAAGAGTAACGAAACCCATAGTCACATATCAACATCATCAAGGGCTACGCAGTGCATTCTACCTCGACGACGGGATTCAAGTAGATCAAGATCCAGAGCGTCTCAGACTACAGTTGAATTTCACCATCAAGCTACTCACTCAGCTAGGATGGTTAGTGAAGTTGGACCTAGAACCTACACAGGACCTGCAGTTTCTAGGCATCAGATTTCTCATGACACAGAACCGTATCGTCGTGCCGGAGGACCGATGGCTCAAGATTCAACAGACAATCCCTCAAGCCTTACTCTCTCCGTTGCCACTACGACACTGGCAGAGTCTGTTGGGTCTCCTCACGTCCGCACAAGACATGACAGCCAGAGGCAGACTACAGCTACGCCCGTTACAGGTCCTTATAAACGCTCATCTCGACGACCTAGAACCCTTCGGTCTCCCGAATTACCTCAGACCTCATCTACTATGGTGTACCCGGAGGTCGAATGTTTGCGAAGGCATCTATTTAACAGAGCCGGAGTTCAAGACCCACCTATACGTGGACGCTTCACTCCAAGGTTGGGGAGCACATCTCGACAAATATGTGGCAGCCGGGATATGGAACCAGGAAGAGAGAAGTCTGCACATCAACATGCTGGAGATGAAAGCAGTCATCAACGCCATACTCCATTGGAGCACCATTCTACAGAATGCGCATCTCATGGTACACACAGACAACTCTACAGTGGCGTTTTATATAAGCAAGCAAGGCTCAACCAGATCATTGAACCTACTGAATCTATGCTTTCAACTGTTCGACCTATTCGACGATCTGAACATCCACGTAAGAACATGTCACATTCCAGGAGCCAAGAATGTCTTAGCAGACGCACTCTCCCATCATACTCAACCATCGCCGACGGAATAGATGCTCCATCCAGAGATCTTTACACAGATCATCAAGGAAATAGGAGCACCGTTGATAGACCTATTCGCCACACGCTTTAACAATAGCTAACAACATTTGTCTCTCCAGTCCCAGATCCACGAGCGTGGGCAACGGACGCTCTCAGCATATCCTGGGAAGGCCAAAACGCGTACGTGTTTCCACCGCCAGCGCTACTACCGAGGGTGTTACAGAAAATCAGCCAGATAAGGAACCTCCAACTGATTTTGGTCGCGCCCTACTGGCCAGCGAGAATGTGGTTCCCCATTCTCATACAAGAACTCGGACCACCTCAACTGCAACTACCAGAGCGGTCCAATCTACTAGTACATCCTCACACAAAGCAGGCGCACGGCAACCCAGGGGCATTCCAACTACACGTGTGGACTGTATCAAGGCATGTTTAAACAAGAGAGGGTACTCCGCCAGAGCGGCGAAAGCAGTCACGCTTGCTTTACGCAATTCTACACGCAACTTGTACAACGACAAGTGGCACAGCTTTGAGACCTACGCTGCTAAAAATGGATTTTCAGCTAGAAAAGCAACACATCCTCAA